GAAGATTTTATCTCTTTTAGTTAATTCTAACGGATGGATAGGAGTCACGTGTATAATATTTGCTTTTTATAGAAGAGAAAATGTGACAGGTGGTTTGAAGTTACACAGTTCCTGAAATATATCGTGGAATATATGGACGAGTAATCTATAGAATTTCACCAACTCTGTGGTTGTTCCTTGCTTTGTTCACATATTCAGTGTGGCTAAGATTAGGAATTGTGGTGACTCTAAAGAATAGCGGCCCAAACCGAAACGACCTTCGAACAAAAAAGTGACCTTGAGCAAGGAATCCGCTGACTATCATTTTCGGAAGCAATCATGGATGTCTTCGATTACTGTTTGGATAACGGACTGATAGCTTTGTCGAAAATTTGCCAATGCGGAGGAGTTATGCATATACAAAAATACACAGGGGCCATTGATGGCTTTGTATACAGATGTATTGAGTGCCGAAGGAGGAAATCGGTTCGAGAAGGTTTGTCGTTGTTTTTTAGTTTACAGATGCCTTAGGAACTTTTCTCTCAAGGTCTAAACTACCTTTGAAGAAAATTTTAATGATCTGTAACTTCTGGGTCCTGAAAAGAGCAGTCACAGCTACAGCTTATGAAACATTAAATTCAGAGGTGTCAGCAGTGCAATGGTTCAACTACTGCAGAGAAGTTTCCTCCTGGAAAATGAACACCCTGACTCAAGTTCTCGGGGGAGTCGGCAGCATAGTCCATATTGATGAGACTGTACTTATAAAAAGGAAATACAATCGCGGGAGATTGTAAGCAAACCAGCAGTGGATACTGGGTATCTACGACACGATACTGAGCAAAGGGTATATAGAAGCGATTCCCAATCGCAGTGCAGCAGTATTAGTACCTATTAATAAGCGTTTGGTGTTGCCGTGGACGACTATTCAAACAGATGAATGGAGCGGATACCGTCAATTATCGAATCATGGGTACATTCATCATGTTGTGAATCATACGGACGGTTTCCGGAATCCTTTGGATGGAACCCACACCAGTTCCATTGAAAGTTTTTGGAGTCGTCTAAAAAGACGTATAAGAGCGGTTAATGGATCGAGAAATCCCATGGTTTACAGTTACCTGGATGAATTTATGTACCGAAACTGGCTTCGTATGACTATGAAGACTCCCATGAGAAATTGGGAGGTTTTTTGCAACATATACGCGAACGCCATTCTTTGTAACTGTTTATTATGATTGCATTCCTTTTATATAAACCGTTTTTTACAATTATGCGCCTTTCTTTTTGAGCCTTCTCATTGGCCGAAGTTGTCCCTGACAAGGTCATTTTTGCGTTAAAAGGTCGTTTCCGTTTGGGCCGCTATTCTTTAGAGTCACCGGAATTGTTCACCGGAGGTAAGATTAATTTACCTGATATGTATACATCCTCAGATTTTTCTCTATATGGGTGAAGGCGTTCGAAGGAATACAATCTCAATCTCTGCTTGCAAGCAGAGATCTGCGAACGGATTTGGTGGTGACGAAAACTGCAAAGACTGGTTCAACACCACGAACAACGGGGGCAAACCGATACAGATGTCGTGGATAGAGTGTTTGGTGGACTTTGTGATGACTATGATGCAGCTATAAAAAGCTCTACAACTGCGACTTTTTCACTGGATTGTTATTAACTCTTTTTAGTGTAGATATGTACTCTTTGATTCTGAGCCGTTTTTAACTTGATTGATTATTTTTTCCTTACAAATATATGCATTTATGTCGATTAACTTTGTCTCTTTCACTTATCATTTTGAGGACATTGCAGAGTTAACGAGAATATGGTAGGCAACATATTAATACTTATGTGAAATGCGTCAGTCTTAAAATATTACTATTTCCCCAATGCATCATCAAGCCTTGCGTAAAGTGTTTCAGTTGCGTATAATATTGGTATTCGCGATTGTTAAGAAAGTAGCCGTCAAACATGTGTTATAACGAAACAAAGTCTAGCAAATATAGGTTCTATACGTACATTACTTGTAGTGGTAGTCTAGACACTTCACGCGCACTATGCAACGTATATCCTACTTATCACAGATAGTCTGCTATTCTTATGTTGCGTTTAACACCACTACCTCAAAGGAAATCATTGCGTAATAAAGAGATAACTACATTACTCTTCTTGTGCTATCATTTCGTATTAATAGGCTCTTACATGATCACATTAACACTCAGACTCGTGCATTAGCTGATTACGTCACTAAATTTGATTGATTACTTTGTTATCATAAAATACTGTAACGCATTAGATAGGCTTTTGTTGTGCATATCGCCTGTTTAAGGTTTACTAGCGAAAGCGATAACAGTACCCCCATCGTGTCTAAATTCAACCAGGTGTAAATATGGCACTTTACCAATATTATGTCTTCTACGCTAGCATCACTTTGCAACTTGACAAACAGTAAGTATTATTAGTGTACGAATAAGGTGCAAAATTTTTAAAACAATGTTTATTTCGACAAATACATTCATAATATCAAAAATATTTCATCAGTTACACAAATATTATTCTTTTTAACCCTACTGGAATGTATAAATGTATTGAGTGATTGCGGAATTGAAGACCATAACCTGGAAATTAAAAATGACAAAAATTCAGTCAGGAAATGATGGGCGAAATAAATTACTTGAAACACAGTACGTACCAGTTAAATGACTGTTTATTCACCGTTATCTGACGAAATTACCAACTCAGTTTCCTTTATTACTGTGAAATTTTGTAAACACAATGAAATCATAATTACCTAGATATTTAACTCTCTACTAATCATTTACGTAAAATACACTGAAACAATTGAAGTTATTTTGCATTTTACATCACAATTGACATTTTCCAACAAATTCTGACATTTCTTATGCACCTCAGTATGTCAATTCCATAAAAAGAGAGCATTTTGTAAACACATTAAAAAAGACCACTTTTCTCACTTTTTACACGTTTTTTCGTTAAAATAGGATTTTTAAAGAGCACTTCTGTCGAAAAAACTACTAAAAACAACGTGGAATAGCCCAAACACAGCGCCACGATAACACCTTAAAACTGCAGCAATCAGCTGATTTGTGCGTCTATCCTATCCCCGAAATTGCTATATTACATCAGTTAAATCTTCCCCCAAAACCAAGGCCACTTGAAACCAATAGCAACATAGCAACAAGCGTCACTGAGGGGATATGCAATAAAGTCGCTCTCTGCTCCTGTGTCGACTAAGAACGTAGTACCAGTATTTCTATCTGTTACATAAAACAAACGACTGCTAGATCGTAGATTGCTGACAGTAGAAGTTTTCATACATGACGATATATCTTTTGGTTTAGCCTGAAAGTTGCAAGGTGAACGACACCGTCGTGCATTGCTTCCGTAACTACGGTGGTACCAGCAAATAGTATCGTGATGTCGTGACGTGCTACGTGACCGAGAAAGACGTCGACGAGACGAGCTTCTGGAACGGCCTGGTCGTGTGTGTGCGGTCAGTGCTGCTAACTGACTCAGTAAGGTGTCGACTTTGTGTTCTAGAGTCTGTATCCTATCGTGAGTGTGTGGTATTCTGCTAGTGGAAACAACAGATTGAGGTGTTTACCTCTCGTACATGCGACCCGCAATTTTGGCGAGCTTTTCTATGTCAATGTCGTCGTCTCCGAAAGCAAGAACTTGCTGAATGTTTGCAGGCAGTCGTCGCAGCCAGATTTGGTAAAAGAGACGTTTGTCGATATCTCTTCCTTCTACTAGGCTTTGCATATGCCTCATGAGTTGTGATGGGGTTTTATCACCTAGCTCTACATTGCTTAACAAACGATCGAGTGCTTGTCTATCAGAAAGTGAAGTGCATCGAAGTACCTCATCCTTTAACTTGTCGTAAGGAGCGTCTGTGCTGGGTTGAATTATGTATTGTCTAACCTGTTCGGCGATTTCGTCTGGTAGTACTGTACTCAATATGCCGAATTTAGCCGTCTGTGACGTGAGCTTATTGGCAGTGAAATAATGTTCCAGTCGTGCAAACCAAAGATGGGGGTCTCTGGGCTTAAAAACTGGTACAGTAAGAGAAATAGTACTAACAGATCCCAGCTCTAAGTTATTAGAGGTATTGGAAGATATGTTACAATTCGTAGAAAAATGGTATAACAGTAACAAAATAACAAAACTTAAGCACACCAAGAATATGGTAAAACAGAAAAACATGCAATGCAGATGCTCACCACAGATTACTACAAGTTGCGTGATGAGAAAGCACAAGAATGAGTTCGAAATGTCTATTATATGTATATATATCCGATAAAGTTAGAGTTTAAATAATCCAGCAAGTGTAATGATGCGTCGTGGTGAACAAGTTGTCGTCGGAGTCAACAAGTTATCCTCGCGGTGAACAAGTTATCGTCGAGGTGAAAAGTTGTCGTCACGATGGACAATTTGTTGTCGGGGTCGAAATTTGTCGTTGTGGTCAACAATTTGTCATCGGGGTGAACCAGTTATCGTCAAGGACACCAATTTCTCGTCGCTGTCGAAATATATATTTCGACAAAAATGGGGAAAATCGTGTCTAAAATGGGGACATTGCATTGAGGAAAAATGGGGACAAAATGGGGAAATAGTAAGGTTTTCCCCATTTTGTAAAGTCCAGTTGTCCCCACCATCACCCCATTTCCCCCATTCTGTCCCCACTATTATCCCCTTTGTCCTCATTCTGTCCCCACTATTACCCCATTCTGTCCCCACAGTTTCGCCAGTCTGCACTCGGAATTCGCATAGTTCCCCCATTTAGTCGCCAAGATTACGCCATTCCGTCCCCAAAAATCGCATTATTTCCTAACACTGTCCCCGGAATTTCTCTATTCTTTAATCGAATATTACCACCTTAATTTGTCTCCCTTTTTAACGAATATTCCACCGTTAACCTGGTAAATTCCCCCCCTATCACTCATTTACTACAGCTTTGTATTGATTACGTCAAACAACTCAAAAGTCAAATCAAGGTTTTTTACGGGACAAAATTACATTTGAATTGTTGGAGTTAAAGGAAAACAGTTTACAAGATTTCGGTAAATTAATTCTTTAGGATTAATGAACAGTTTCAGTTGCGATGAATACACACAATTGGAATGACAGCCTTTTTATTCAATATCTCATTGCACTTGTTCTAATTGTCCCCATCGTCAAGTAGATCCATTGAAGTGTCCTGAAAAGAAGGAAAAATTAATCATTAAGATAGTAATCCACACTGGCACTTATACAGACAGCTGACACTGTAATAATGAAATACTAAACGTCTTCATTTAGGTTTTAAATTTTATTTCGTTAATGAGTATAATTAAAATTATTTGTCTATATAATAGAAATACTCACACTTAAAGACCTTAAGTTTCATTAATTTCTACAGCATGTACTTATTTAAATGGTAACTTACAGGAGAGATCCTCTGATCACTTTTCTTATTGTCAACTGCAACCTTTAAAAAATAAAAAAACAATTTAGTTAATTTGTATTTATAACATGAAAGGGTTTGCAGTGTATATACACTACAATGCTACTATAGTAGCATTAATTCAACCGAAAACGTTTACTTACTCTTCGCCGGCTATCCCTTTTGTCTATGCGATCACGTATATCATGGAAGTAGGCCTTTACAGTATTTTTTAGAATTTTCTTAACGTCGTCATCAGAAACTGTAGCCGAAACGAACTTGCTGACAATGACGGCTAAAAGAAATAATTACATAAAACAAGCTTACACGTTATAACTGCATAAAAGGTGCATTTCGTGAGAGCCAATTTCTTTGGAGTTCCAAATGCTGTAAAACGACTTGACAGCTTAGGATCCATAACATAATTTAGCATCGCTCTCAACGAAGACTCCGGATTGAAAGATAATTTTTCCACCATTTTCATCATCTGAAATTAAGTAAAGGTTTATTGTGAACTTACGAATGATTCTTTAAATTTGGGATTTTTAAGTGACGCCTCTAGTTGGGTGAATTCTTCTTCAGTAGTTACGGGGAATTGCAGTTGACTATTGTCAATGGTTGATTTCCCACTTCCAACGGCGGCCACACACGTTGACTTATTCACTGACAACAATTGCGCCATCAATGTTTTCAGCGACTGAAGTTCTGCTTTCATTTCTCCTTTAAAAGAATGCATTTCTCCTTTAAGGGACTGCATTTCCCTCTAATTGACTGCAACTCATTGGCTACTTTATTATCTAATTCACAGTTTTCCTTACTGCAAAGTAAATACTAATGAAAAGTGACATACGTAGTCTGCTGAACTAGTTGCGCTATAGGTGAAGAAGTTGCCACTGGCATTTGTTGAGTGGAAGTGCTGAAGGAGTAATGATATTAAAGGAATGCGTTACCTGGCTATCGGTGACATAACAGTTGCCATGAAATTTGTTGTCGGGTATTTTGAAGGCAAACAAACTTTCTGTGCCTCCACTGCTTCAAGTTCCATTGAGTCGTAAGCGTAAGACGAGTTCTTCGTCTCAACTCTGCATTCTGTGATTAACCAATAAGAAGAATCTACCTTGGACGTTTGGAATTGGTAAGAGGTAATGTTTCCTCCATATTATCTGAATTGGAGAGTACACTGTATATTCGTTTAGTAGCCTGCAATGTATTCTTGGCTTCTACGAAAGAGTCTAATTACAGTAATGTAAGTAACACGTAAATAGTTACCTAGTTCAGCTAACATTTCACAATCCGTTAGCACCCATTCCGGTCGAGGTCTTACGCAAGCCTCAACTTCATTATCTGTTATACTGCTGTGATACAAGCACAGGTCTTCGGATAGCATCCAACTTTTGGCAGCTATGAATAATTCTTTGGACCCAGCTTTCCGTAAAACAGCATAATTCTTCTTTTCTTTCTGTAAGAAATGATATGATATAAACAAAATTTACTGTCTTATTAGTCCGCTTGGCAATTGAATGCAGGAATGCCGACGATTGACACAACTGTCTAAGCAGAAGCATATTTGTCAATTCATCACGTTCAGAAGAGACTTGTGTGCATATTTCCGAAGTACTAGCGCATGGTGTTACGCTGGTGCACGGTGTCGATGGCACCACCTCGATTTCATTATTCATACTATCAGTGTTCACTGAAGAGGGCTCGACTTCAACAGGAAAGACAGCATGTGAAACAGCCTCCGTTGATGTCGACGCTGCATTTATCTCGGCCATTATCTGCGCATAATTACGTTTATACCTTCTGTAAAACGTAGTGTAATGGCAGGTCAATTGTAGATTACGCTCACGTAATCTCTTCAGGCTTAGTATAGGGTATTTAGTGTTAGACTAGGAGGAAAATAGAAAAGGGAGAACAACGACCACCTACCTGCATGCTGAACGGTTTAAAAGTGCGCGCAAGATGTGTAAGTGTAATAAAACAAACCCTGACATATGTAGCGCTGTAATTTACGTTTACCAAAGAAATTTGGCACTAACTGAACTGATTGGTTAGTGAGATTAAAAATTATTCAAGAAGAAATTTAGATTTTATTAATTTACGAAAACTACAGCCGTTAATTCATGCGTTTTATAATTTTCCAGCCTCGGTGAAGTTTTTCCGACGTAAAAATTTTACTACTGACAATTTTTCAGTAGTCTACGGAGATAAGTAAAACTTTTCAAATGCTTCCTCATTCTGTCCCCATTATTCGCATTTTGTTCCCATTATTCGCATTTTGTCCCCATTATCCCCATTTTGTCCCCACCTATCAAATATTGTCCCCATTTTGTCCCCATTATCCCCATTTTGTCCCCATTATTCCCATTTTGTCCCCATTCTTCAAAAGGTTGTCCCCAATCTGTCCCCATTTTCCCCAAAATGTCCCCACTTTGTCCCCACATTTGTCCGATTGGTGATCCCGGGGACGTAAGTCGCCGGGATCACCAATTTGTTGCGTGCGTTGTCTGACTGAACTGCCGTACACATATATTCTAGTACTTTTTCACTTTTATTAATGTGCGCAGACGTTGTGGCTACTCGACGCCCACAACGTAAAGCCAAAAGGCACTTGCGAAGAGTACGAATGTGTATTATAACAGTAGTCAAATTCGAAATTGAGTCAAGGTAATGTTCAACAGTAAATTGACAAATGTTTGTGAAGTACATATAAAATCGGTCTGTATACACCTATAATACAAGCATACAAATTAGATTAAAAAGCATGTTTTTAGTTGGTAAAGGGGTACTACAGGTCCACAGAAATAATTCCTTGTTCTAGTTGCTAGCCAAATACAAATACCGCTTTCTAAAGTAATTAGTTTCATCTTTCAACTTGTATTTTATTTCAAGTAGCTGTGAATTGTGGTATCTTTTCATTCAAGGACTACTAAAGGAGTATGATCACGTTATGTAGGCTTTTAATGAAGATGGCTATACAAAAGAATAAAATTCTTATAAATTTTTCAAATGAGACATCGACTGCATTTTACCAGATAAATTGGAACAATTATCAGGATTCTGAGCAACATAAGTATTCGAACTTCTGCAAACAGTCTTGATGTGTCCAACTTCACCACATTTGTGACACTTAGCACCCCGAAAACGGCAAGTGCTTCGTAGATGTAACTTTCCACAGGAAAAACATTGTTTGATGTTTTTGATCTCTCGCTGCATTCTATTACCTGTGGACGACAGTTTGGATTGCTTTCCATTATCACTTGTATTTTCGACTTCAGAAAGCATAACATCAGACACTGACGTGGTGGGAGCAGAGTATTCACTGTTGACATCTTCATATGTAATACATAAATCTTCAGCAGTTCGAAAGATACAAGAAGGAATCTGAATTAGCTCTTTCTCTAACTTAGGAATATTGATTCCAGCAATTAGACGATCACGTAGTTGAGTATACAGCTGATCTCCAAAATTACACTTTGAAGCTTGTATTTGAAGTTGAAGAATGAGCTCTCGAATCTTCTGGTTGGAAGCACGAACCAGTTTATGGAATTGAGCCCTCTCTCTCTGGTCTCAAATGTAGTTACATGAAAGTGACTTATCAGAAGTTCATGAATCTTGACATATGACAGAGAAATGGGTTTATCTGGAAACGCCAGAGTCTTCACTTGGCTATACGCATCTAGCTCAATAGTAGTGATGAAATGTGCTGGTATTTTGTCATCCCGAACATTCTTGGAAATGCACCACGCATCGAAGCATTCCAAATAATCAGTAATCTCCCGCGGAGAACCATCTATAGGAAATTTTCCAAGGTTATTTAGTTCCATCGCGACGCCAATTTGTAGTAATTTATTGTAATCGAAGTATTAGTATTTCGAGATGACCGAATTACACGAATCCAACCAAAACACAGAGAGGGCGGAATTCAGGAATTTGTATTTAGCGGAATTATAATGCAATTCATATAAGAAATATATTAACAATCAACAGTAAGTATTTAAACAATACAGAGATAGAAATTGTCAATCATCACATCCGCCACACGTCGAATATCTCCTTGCGTATTTACAACGATGTCTCGGTTTGCTTGGAAGTAGCTGCGACCTTCCAACTGATCCTGTGATATTATTTCCATCAGTATCATCTAGACTTATTTCTGAATTATCTACAAAATCAGGATTATTAGCGGAATCATTAAAATAATAATTGGAACGACCTACTTCATTTATTGTCACTTTGTCCAGGTGTCCGTTATGAACTGAGTGATCTTTGATGTCTAATATCTTCACCACTCGATTTCCCATTTTTTGTAGTATGATTCCAACAGAAAGTCTATAGTCATTCCCTTTGTAATAATGTACATTAGAAGTCGTGGACATCAGATGCTTTTTGAGAATTCGAGATTTGAAAAGTTTCGCAGGACTTTCATGGGTACTTGTATGTTCTGCATTCAACAGACGCAGTCTATGCATATGCAGCAATTCCTCCATTTTAATCAGTTTCTCTCTCATCTCATTCAGTTTTTTTCGTGTTTTCGACAGTTCGCATCGTAACTCGGCTACCTCATTTTTGAAAACAGTTGACACTTGAGTTGCCGAACTTGTAGTGGAGGTTTTCATTGGATGAGCTTGAGTATTTTGAAAGGTTGAAAGACACATTGACTTCATTTTACTAGACAGCTTGGGAGAATTATAAGAATGTTGAGCAACATAAGTATTCGAACTTCTGCAAACAGTCTTGATGTGTCCAACTTCACCACATTTGTGACACTTAGCACCCCGAAAACGGCAAGTGCTTCGTAGATGTAACTTTCCACAGGAAAAACATTGTTTGATGTTTTTGATCTCTCGCTGCATTCTATTACCTGTGGACGACAGTTTGGATTGCTTTCCATTATCACTTGTATTTTCGACTTTAGAAAGCATAACATCAGACACTGACGTGGTGGGAGCAGAGTATTCACTGTTGACATCTTCATATGTAATACATAAATCTTCAGCAGTTCGAAAGATACAAGAAGGAATCTGAATTAGCTCTTTCTCTAACTTAGGAATATTGATTCCAGCAATTAGACGATCACGTAGTTGAGTATACAGCTGATCTCCAAAATTACACTTTGAAGCTTGTATTTGAAGTTGAAGAATGAGCTCTCGAATCTTCTGGTTGGAAGCACGAACCAGTTTATGGAATTGAGCCCTCTCTCTCTGGTCTCAAATGTAGTTACATGAAAGTGACTTATCAGAAGTTCATGAATCTTGACATATGACAGAGAAATGGGTTTATCTGGAAACGCCAGAGTCTTCACTTGGCTATACGCATCTAGCTCAATAGTAGTGATGAAATGTGCTGGTATTTTGTCATCCCGAACATTCTTGGAAATGCACCACGCATCGAAGCATTCCAAATAATCAGTAATCTCCCGCGGAGAACCATCTATAGGAAATTTTCCAAGGTTATTTAGTTCCATCGCGACGCCAATTTGTAGTAATTTATTGTAATCGAAGTATTAGTATTTCGAGATGACCGAATTACACGAATCCAACCAAAACACAGAGAGGGCGGAATTCAGGAATTTGTATTTAGCGGAATTATAATGCAATTCATATAAGAAATATATTAACAATCAACAGTAAGTATTTAAACAATACAGAGATAGAAATTGTCAATCATCACATCCACCACACGTCGAATATCTCCTTGCGTATTTACAACGATGTCTCGGTTTGCTTGGAAGTAGCTGCGACCTTCCAACTGATCCTGTGATATTATTTCCATCAGTATCATCTAGACTTATTTCTGAATTATCTACAAAATCAGGATTATTAGCGGAATCATTAAAATAATAATTGGAACGACCTACTTCATTTATTGTCACTTTGTCCAGGTGTCCGTTATGAACTGAGTGATCTTTGATGTCTAATATCTTCACCACTCGATTTCCCATTTTTTGTAGTATGATTCCAACAGAAAGTCTATAGTCATTCCCTTTGTAATAATGTACATTAGAAGTCGTGGACATCAGATGCTTTTTGAGAATTCGAGATTTGAAAAGTTTCGCAGGACTTTCATGGGTACTTGTATGTTCTGCATTCAACAGACGCAGTCTATGCATATGCAGCAATTCCTCCATTTTAATCAGTTTCTCTCTCATCTCATTCAGTTTTTTTCGTGTTTTCGACAGTTCGCATCGTAACTCGGCTACCTCATTTTTGAAAACAGTTGACACTTGAGTTGCCGAACTTGTAGTGGAGGTTTTCATTGGATGAGCTTGAGTATTTTGAAAGGTTGAAAGACACATTGACTTCATTTTACTAGACAGCTTGGGAGAATTATAAGAATGTTGAGCAACATAAGTATTCGAACTTCTGCAAACAGTCTTGATGTGTCCAACTTCACCACATTTGTGACACTTAGCACCCCGAAAACGGCAAGTGCTTCGTAGATGTAACTTTCCACAGGAAAAACATTGTTTGATGTTTTTGATCTCTCGCTGCATTCTATTACCTGTGGACGACAGTTTGGATTGCTTTCCATTATCACTTGTATTTTCGACTTTAGAAAGCATAACATCAGACACTGACGTGGTGGGAGCAGAGTATTCACTGTTGACATCTTCATATGTAATACATAAATCTTCAGCAGTTCGAAAGATACAAGAAGGAATCTGAATTAGCTCTTTCTCTAACTTAGGAATATTGATTCCAGCAATTAGACGATCACGTAGTTGAGTATACAGCTGATCTCCAAAATTACACTTTGAAGCTTGTATTTGAAGTTGAAGAATGAGCTCTCGAATCTTCTGGTTGGAAGCACGAACCAGTTTATGGAATTGAGCCCTCTCTCTCTGGTCTCAAATGTAGTTACATGAAAGTGACTTATCAGAAGTTCATGAATCTTGACATATGACAGAGAAATGGGTTTATCTGGAAACGCCAGAGTCTTCACTTGGCTAT